TTGCTACACATAATGGAAAGACCTTTAATAAGGCAAAACTATGCTGGATGCTTTCTTAAGGGGTGAAGATACACCTTAAAGACCTCCCTCAGCCTCCGAAATCATTTGAAGATCTACAAAATCACCCAATAGGACTCCAGTTTAAAAAGGCAGAGGAGAGTCACCTACAGAGCCATCGCGATATAAAATCATAGGTTAAAGTCCCCGCGTCTCCAATACAAAAATCAGGGCAACAAATCCTTGATTGTATGTAGGTTTATACGTACAAACTTAACAAGCATTATCGACTGGTCAAGTGCAAAGCTCAACTAGTTGTCTAAGGAGATTAACAGCGAAACATTACATCGCAGGACACATATGCAGCTACACTTGCAAGCAGGTCCTTTTAACTCCTTATGGCCTTAGCAGCCAAATACAATTTTAACCTAAAATAATATGACGTTACTAATGCGTTTGTTCATGCCACAATTAATCAAGACATCTATATGCGAATACCACGCGGGTATTAACTCCCTGGCACGCTTTTAAAGGTTTAAAAGGCACTATATGGACTCCGCATTTTGCCTCTGTTATGGCAACGGAAGTTCACAACAACCATGTAATCACAAGGGTTCACTGTGATTCCACACGAGCCCTGCTGCATAGTAAAGGACGGAGTGTTTGTCTTCTTCTATGTTAACAACATCATCTTCGCCTACAACCCAGCTAAAGAAAAGGAATATTAACACACTGTAAAACAACTACGACAGTGCTTCACTATAACCGGAGGAGAAGACCTACAGTGGTTCCTCGGCATGGAGATTATTCGTGATAGGAAGAAGAAAACTATCTACTTATCACAAGAAGCGTATATTAATAAAATCAATAGGTTAGTAGACGACAAAAGGGTCCGGCACAACACACCTATAAGCGGAATCGAGCTTAAACCTTACAACGGACTGGCAACGCCCTCCGAAATCAATCAATACTAACAAAAGATTGGATCCCTGCTGTTTGCAGCTACAACTACACAACCAGATACATTATTTGCAGTATTACAACTTGCTCGTTTTCTCGCGAACCCATTATTAGAGCACTATTGAGCTGCTAATAGGGTGCTCCTTTACCTCTACGAAACCCAGAGAATTACACTTTGGATGGGAGGAGGAGACGGATTTAAGGTAGCAAGTGATGCCTCATTTGCCGACAATACAATAGATAGAAGGAGTTCTTAAGGATACGCGATTAAGCTATTCGGGGGACTTATTGCGTGGAAGGCGAACAAACAAGACACCGTCACCACATCAACAACTGAAGCCGAGTTACTTGCTCTTGCTCAAGTAGCCAAAGAATCAATGTATATCAAAAGGCTTATGCTGGAACTGGGGATTGAACTACTAGAGGCAATCAAAATACAATGCGACAATCAGCAAACAATACGTTTGCTAACAGAAGAACTCGCAAAGCTTGTTACTAAGCTACGCCATGTAGATATCCACAATCACTGGCTAAGGCAAGCAGTAAATTACGGTGAAATCACCGTAATCTACTGTCCAACCAGCAAAATAATTGCTGATGGATTTACCAAGGCATTAGCACCAAACAAATGGGCTCCCTTTCTATCTCAACTTGGATTGGAAACGGTGGAGAACTACAAAACGAAGAAAGCTCTTAACCTGTCTACAAAGGAGACCTAATTGAGTAAGTTGTTTCTAGCTTGACTAATCCGGAACACTACGGAATTATTAAAAGTCACTGTAGGATTGCCCGGGTCAGCTAAACTAAAGGGGTGTGTTAAATGAGAAGCAACGAATTACTGTAAACTACAGTAGAGTCACAATGAGGCTCAATTAGGCCGAGGGAACTCCGCTAATCTAACTAGATTATGTCAGAATAAGTAGTGCAATTTACAAGTAGGAGTAAAGCTATGCAACAAATAGGTGTGCACCTGTGCACACTGGCTCCCCACCTAGGGTAAGGGGGGGTATAGCAAAGTCATAAGGTCTGAAGAGACAAAGAATCAATTATTAATTTCCATCATGATAGTTATCACTATAAATCACTGTGATATCTAACACCTGTTGTATAGCTCTAGAAGTTAAGAAGATATAGAGAAGCTAAAGTTAGAATTTAAATGTGCTAATGTGTTGCTAAACAACAGGCAATACAAAAAGTTAGCAGAACTGCTTATGCAAGTAGTAGAGAAAAAGAAAAAGATACTTAGAAATAAGCATCCTAACACGCTAATTAGCATAGCCAACTTAGCATTAGCATATAAGAAGCAGAGTAGGTAGAAGAAGGCTGAAGAGCTAGAGGTGCATTTAATAAAAATAAGAAAGAGGTTATAGAGGGACGAGCATTCCTTCACGCTAATTAGTATAGGCAATCTAGCGTTGACGTACTAAAATTAGGGTTAGTAAAAGCAAGCTAAAAAGCTGTTTGTGCAAGTGCTAGGGGCTAGAGAGAGGGTGCTTAGAGATAAGCATTCTAATACGCTTGCAACTATAGGAAACCTAGCGTCTACGTACAGAAATTAGGGTCGGTAGAAGAAAGCTAAACAGCTAGAGGTATAAGTAATAGAGAAAAGGAAGAGGATGCTTAGGGACAAGCATCTATCTATGCTAACTTGTATAGCTAACCTAGCGTTAACGTACAGGAATTAGGGTTAATAGAACGTAACTAAAGAGCTAGAGATACAAGTAATAGAGACAAGAAAGAAGATACTTAGAAGCAAGCATCCTGACACATTAACTAGCATAGGAAATCTAGCGTTAACGTACATAAATTAGGACTAGTAGAAAGATGCTAAAAGGTTATTTGTGCAAATAATAGAGACATTTAAGAGGGTGCTTAGGAATAAGCATCCCTCTATGTTAAATAACATAGCCAACCTAGCGGCGATATACTAGAATTAGAGTTAGTAGAAGCTAGCTAAAAGGCTAGAGGTGCAAGTAATAGAGACTTGCAAGACAAAGCTAAAAGACAGCTATCTTTTAACGCTAACTAGCATGGCCAACCTAGCGTTGACGTACTAGAACTAAGGCTAGTAGAAAAAGGCTGAAGTGCTAGACGTGCAAGTAATAGAGACTTGCAAGACAAAGCTAGGAGACAGCTATCCTAACACGCTAACTAGCATGGCTAACCTAGCGTTAACGTACAGGAACTAGGGCTAGTAGAAAGAAGCTAAAGCGCTAGAGGTGCAAGTGATAAAGACAAGCAAGACAAAGCTAGGAGACAGCTATCTCTTAACGCTAACTAGCATAGCTAACCTAGCGTCGACGTACAGGAACTAGAGCTAGTAGAAAGAGGCTGAAGCGCTAGACGTGCAAGTAATAAAGACAAGCAAGATAAAGCTAGGAGACAGCTATCTTTTAATGCTAACTAGCATAGCTAATCTTGCATTTACGTAGAAAGGTCAGCATTATAACGCAGAAGCTATAGAACTTATAAGGGAACGTGTCTACTTAAGGAGTTACGTTTTTAGTACTACTTATCTACACTACGTATCTTCTTTTAACACACTCACGAACTGGGAGGTAGAGAAAGCTGATATTAGCTCTTTAACTCTAGATAGCTAGTAGCAGCTAGATCTGTGTTGCTTTAGGTAAAGGATTGTATTTTAGCTAATTATTTATTAAAACAGCTATTAGTTGCAACATAGGGATACACAGTACAGAAAAGTACATAAAGAGTACATAGGACGTTAGCATGGCGGTGGCGCATTTACTTGTCTTGCTACTATTGTCTGTTAGCATAGCTAACTTGCTTCTGCCTTAACCTTGTCCTAGAGGCGTTAAAGTAGATTTTTAACAAGAGACTAATAATGGACGGGATTACGCGCAGGCACGTACTAAGTAAATTAGCGCTAGGCTATGCTTAGTAGGGTTAGCACTGCCCTAGCGATGCTACTACAGATCTTATTTTAGCTTCTAGTATAGCGCCTTTCTAATTCCTACTTTTAAATCCCTAGAAATTATCTAGAGATGCACTCCACGGTGATCCAATCTTATGTAATAGCTGGTGGAAAAGAAAACACTCTTTAAATAACTGTTTTACAGGATTTCTTTTGCTTTAGAAGTAATCTCGTAAACGTATAAGATAGAGTCTCGCTGTCTAAAACTAATCAATTGTAAATTTACATTGTTGCCTAGTTTATTTTGTAAAGAGAAAAAAAAAGATATATAAAGCATTAACCCATTTAGACTCAAACGCTTCTGTCGTACAATATCCACAGCTAGGCCTATACATTAATTTCTAGATAGAGCCCGGCTGTGGTCTAGAAAGTCATGTAACTCCAACCCTTTTACTTTAGCCATGGCATGCTGAACCACTTCATCAATCTTGGAATCTAGGCTACACGGGTGAGCCTCAACACGTGCGTATCCGTGGTAGTGGTTATAGTAGCCACTTTTAGGCCACCAAGTTAACTTCTCTGCTATACCGCTCTTGTCACAGATTCTGTTAAGACTGATTCCTATGAAAGGAATTTCTAAAGGGGAAGAAAGACAACCCCCTCTCTCTATGTATTTCATCAACGCGCCAAAGAGGAAAACTCCACATTAGAAGGAGTATGATAAGTTGTTAGGGCAGGAATACTCAAAGTCTCTGTAAACCTGGAGTAGGCGGTGCAATTCTAAGATGATGTACTCTAAAGCATCACACCGAACGCGATCAATGCTAGCTAATTAAAGTTAGCAAGTTTAACCTTAGTTGAGGCAAGTTGAGAGCGTACATGTAATTCCTTAGTGGATTGGCAGGTCTAAAGTTTGAATCCAGCCTTCACTTCCTTTGATCGCCACAGCCGTTGCTTCCTCGAACTCTTCGCTTATATGAAATACTTGAGCGATGCAGATCCACAGCATTAGATCTCGGCAGTAAGTGGATGGGATTTTGACACTACGCCTTAACTTGGTAATCCAGTCCCTTGTATTACGCTCCATCACCTCTGCGTTTTGGAGCTTGTAGTAATTAACTAGAACTGCAACTTTTGCGAGCATCTCTAAGCTTACAGTGGTCGGGACTTAGCGCGTTCGGACATAAAAGACGTTTAGAAGAATAAGGAAAGCTTCTTCGTCCCAACTACTAGCTGGAATATGGTATCGCCTGTCTGATGGATCTTTTGAAGCTTTAATGAACCCTTCTCTTGTTAATACGCGCCTAAACCAAGGCGAGGCCAGCATTAAGTGGCGAGAAGAGACAAGATAATGAATCTCGTCATCCTCGGACGTGATCGGCTCGGAGGCTGGCACGACTGGTTTAACCCTTGAGTTTTCCACCTCGTAGTCCACTCCTGGTGCTGAATCTGGGTCTTGAAAGAGTCTCTGCTCTTTAGATGAGGTTCTACTTGGAGGCTCAGCTTGCTTACCACCATTCTCTGGAACCCTTGAGGGGACGGTGCTTAGGGAAGCTCTGTTGCGCATTTTAGCCAACTTTTTAGCTTCCTTTTTGGACAACTTCCTGACCACCTGTTCGTTTTCGGAAGTTTGGGCGCGTATTAGTTGCTTTTCTTTCGCTTCTGTAACATCCGTACTAGAGAGCGTGGGGGTCTCGTCCCACGGAGCGAAGTTTTCACAGGGACTTCTAAGGATAATGATTGTATCCGCAAACAGATCGATTTCGTGTATGGTTGACCGCATGATAGTGGTTAACTGCTAACGTAGCAGATGTGATGTATAGACATTCTTTATATGACTTTCTATTAGGCTGTGCGTCGCCTCATTCTTGCAGCATCTCTGCTGCCTATCTTCCGCCTTGGCAGGCAGTTTAGAGCAGGAAGCGTTATCGCTCTAGCAGCTTAACCATAATTAGACAGCCACGTGTCATCGATCTTTGGGACAGATCGGGATAATTTCAAGCTAATTTAAATGTATGGACCCTTAAGCACCTGCTTTGAGAGGCTCGCAGACGTGGCCACTGCTAATAGCTAGGAAAGGGGAACCCTCTCTAACGCACCATCGCGCTTTTAGTGAATGTGTTAGGTATGCGCGATGTCGCTAGAATCTATAGGGACTAGATCGCCTTACGCTCTAGTGCCTATACAAAAACCCTCTGTAAGAGCGGAACGAGACTACTGTTCAATCTAATTTAGCCCTAATAAATTAGCATCTGAACACTAGGTCAGCTACACATCTTGTGTTATTATTTAGATGAACAAAAATTGTACAATAGATGTTGGAAATGTGCTGTTGATCTCAACCCAGCAATGACAAGAGCCATGGCTGCTACACTGTCTCGGCCTAGTCTATAAGCTAGTGAAGGACTGTTATTACCTTCATCGCATTAAAGCATGATCTCGTACTACTAATATTAACTTGCTTTTAGATGGTCATTCTCTAGTCAGTCTTTGAGACAATTAGCAAATGCTAGTCATGGCCTTGTGCAATTAGGAGCGGCAGAGCTAGCTATTGTATATTGCTATTTTTGCGAATAAGAGCGAGACGCTTTATCTACGCATCTGTTTATATTGCGATCTAGGGTTTGCCGTCTGTCCATGACTTCATAGGGCCTTTGGTCTTGATGTTAATCGCAATTAGATTGTAACGGGCTCGAGTTGTGTAGTTCTATAACTTAACAGATGCACCTAGGAGCAAACAAAGAAAGCGCTAGGCTTGTTTTATAGCTAGATCCGGAGTGAGTGCAACGACGTAATCAACTACACAACTAGGGAGAGCCGAGCGTGCGAGGGATGCAGGTTCGATTCTAGCTGTTTTACTACAACGTTGAGTTAATAGCCAACTGAGAGTATAGTAAGGACTTACACATTATGAATATCAAGCGTCTGTTGGTGCCTCGATGTATTGCGTGCAAGTTTCAAGAGCAAATGCTAAACCTTAGAGTTCTATTCATCCTTAGAGACGCCCAATTCATGATCGTACTTTTAGGCAGTCTCTACAATATCTAGTACCTGCGCTATAGAAGGCACTAAGCTGAGGGCACAGCGCCGCTCTACATCGTTTGCCTACGGATACTGAAACCGCATCTTATCTATAGGAGGCAAGATAGGCAACATTATATCAACGTTATTATACCTTAAAATCCCAACACCGTCTGCAAACTGCTGGATAGCTGTACGCATTGTTGTAACATCTTCTGGTTCTTCTCCTTCCTTGTTGTCATCAAAGTTGCAAAACACGACAGGATATTCGTCAAGATCTTTGAGTAGCTGGAGTTGTTTTACAGGACTTGACCGCCCACTTTGATGTGATTCGGCTTCGGATGCTTCGGATACCGCTACGCTCGAGCCGCTCTTGGTTGGTGAGGGAGGAAACTGGGGCACGCCATCGAGGTCACGAAGTCGTTTTGAAGGACGAGGTGTTTGGTCCACGTCCTCTTGCATGATACGACGCTTGCTCCCTAACCGAACGTTCTCTTTATCGTCCGCCGCGTGAGGATCGATGGGTAGGCGGCTAGATGAGCTAAGGCACAGTAAACAGTCAGTCATCGCCCTACAAGCGTGTATAGGGAGCAGGGCGCATACGAAAGCTGCGGAGATTGGATACCATCAATCCAGATCGCAATGTCGGAAGTGCTTTTGGTATTCATGGGAGATGGGTTCCATCCAGAAAACATGCAGGTTGACGAGAGTGAATATGCGGTTTGTTTGTTTTGAAGCGTAGGGCCCGAGCTCCTTACTAACATAAGCCTTGCGCGGGGATGCCTTGGCGATGACGGAAACTAGTTCCCTCCCGCCCCACAATGCATCATCTATGCTAAGTTACATTAAAGGACCTGTGGAAGCTCTCAGCAAACTTTATGCTGACAACAGCTGCTATTTACCGTATGTAGCGGACCTGTCCTCTCAGCAAGGTCAGGGCAGGAGCGGGTCGGCCATGGTCCTGGGTGTAGTGGCAATATAAAGTACCGCCTCCCACAGGCTGTATCTTACGATGTATAAGCGACTTACTATACTTGCACTATGCTATTTTTGTATTACACCTAGGGGTGCTGCTTTAAAAATCTTCTTACCTTTAAATGACAAGATTGAAACTTTGAGACTGGAAAAGTAGTGTTCTGCGTTTAGTTCCAAATAGTTTCTATCACAATATATCCCCACGTCTTATGTAGTTTCCCTGAAAAACCGACCCTCCGCTGATTGTAGTCTGTCCGGTGAATGTTGAGCCGCCTTGAGTAATCGAAACTCCCCTTCCTTGCATTATTTCGGGGTGTGCTGCGGCCTGCGGCACGGATAATTCTGCAACGTCTATGGCTGGAATCATGGACAACAGCCCTTTCGCATATGCTGCCGCCGTAGCTGCCGCATAGTTCTGCCAGCCCTTGTTCTTGTGGGAGTCCGCATAGTCGCAAATACCGCGAACGACCACGCACGGATGCTCTTCCATAACGCCTGCTGCTTCCATCTCAAAGCAGATGGCTTCATGCTCTTGTTGGACTCTGTTTCGCTCCAAGGCAGATATTTGCAGCTGGTTGCTCGATGCAATATTCCCGAAATGAACGGAAGGCTCGTCGAGCAACCGAGTGGCTCTATCCCCACGATCAGAACGCGAAATGGTGTGGTCCGCATCGCAGCAGTCTTTGCAATCGTCAAGCTCTGTGCCTTGGTGCTTGTACGTATCTTCGAAGAGCCTGTCACGGCTAGGCCCTGGGTCGTCATATTGGTGCCGTCGCTTGTCGTCAAGCTTAAGCCTCATCTGCTTTAAGACTTCTGGGATGTTCGTCTTGGACCGGCCTTCTGCGCGGAAGTTGTTGACAGCGGCCATAAGATCTCCAGGAATACCATTCGTGTGCCCGCGATAGTTCAGCCTTCCGGGATCTTTCCATGCACCTTTGTCATACTGCAAAACCCCACCATGATTTCCTCGCGGAGAGCTGACGACCACGTCCCCAAGCACAATCTCCGAGACGGCACCAGCTGGTCCGTAGCGTGGTACGCCGCCAGCAATGCCGACCAGGAGCATGTATTTGATGTTGGGAAACCCAGCGCGCATTTTCTCGGCGAGTATTGCAGCCTGACTGAGCCCTGTTTTCCTTTGTACGCCAATAACCACGTTATGTTGGTCAATTCTACCGCCTAGATAGAAGACATTTTGGTATTGAACCTCCTCCTGCGAATATTCTTCGTCGAGCGCAAGCCTTGCCGCCTCTCTTTCTAGAGGAAGAGGAGAGATCCAACCGATAGTAAACAGATGATTTTTCGCCATGGTGGTCAATCGTAGTCTGTCAAGGGCAGAAGAGGGGCGGGGAGACATAAATGTAGTAGGCAGCAGCATTGGCTGAATTCAGCCTGCTTCAGCCTCAGCCTTGCCGCGCCCGCCTTGCCGCACCTCAGCCTCGTTGCATCCTCGTGGAAGACAAAGAGGTCGATACCTATAACACCCATCAGAGTGCGGTCGAATGTCCGCTGCATACGCTATGGATCCGACCCCGCAAATGCAACACGCACCGACACACCATGAACCTCCACGCTTCGGTGGCGTGCAGATCCACCAGGAGGGCTCGCGCTTTGGCGCTACCCATGTTACGGGAGGATACGTCTTCCAGGGCAATTTCGTCGGCCTGACCATAAGTGAGTGCCGGCAGCTAGTATAGCCTCCACGCTTGCCATGCTCACGATGCGCAGACTCCGCCGCCGCTAGCCAGCGCGACTACACGGGCCAGTTCGCCCACTCGTCGCTCGAGCCCGTCAAGGCCTTCGTCGCGCGCGACGCCCTGCACGACCAGATCCACACCCAACTCAACAGCCATGCGGCTGAGGCAAGCACCACCACGCTCGTGGTGTGGGGACTCGGCGGGGCCGGGAAGACGCAGCTGGTGCTAGACTACGTGCAACGACACCGCACCGAGTACAAGGCCACGTTCTGGATCGAGGTGGCCAGCAAAGAGTCGCTAGAACGCGACTTTATCAACCTGTATCGGATGCTGTTCGGCCTGGCAACATCCGCTGGAACGGAGACGATCAGCATCGACGATGCGGTGACGGGGGTGAAGAGCTGGTTCTCTGGGCGACAGGGCCCGTGGCTGATGGTGTTCGACGGCGCCGATGCCATTGAAGACAGCAAGGCCCACAATTTCGTCAACATTAAGCACTTCATTCCAGACGTGGCATCTCTGCATGTTATTATGACGAGCCGAAGCAGCACGGCAGCAAACATGACGCGGATGGACGGGGTGCAGGTAGGCGAGATGGAGGGTGCGCAAGCTGTTGAGCTCTTCTACCGATACACTCGGCTCCCGCGCGATAATGTAAAGACTCATGAAGAGGTTAAGGAGATTGTTAAGGAGCTTGGGTGCCTGGCACTCGCGGTCACGCTAGCAGGCGCGTACGTGGGGACGACTCCGCGGCTGCAGTCCAACGTTAAAGCGTATCGACCAGAATACAGGCAGCGGCGGCGGGAGCTGCTCCAGCGAAAGCCTGAGAGCTTAGTGCATCAGTACAGCGAGAGCGTGCTCACGACGTGGGAGACGTCGCATCGAGCGGTCGCCGAACAATGTTCAGAGGCATCGGTGCTGATGACGATGCTGTCGTTCTTGAGTTTTGATGATATCTTTCTTGGACTGTTTGTCTTTAACGGACAGGTGGAAATGTCGAATAAGGAAGAAGATATAAACTGGAGAAGGCTCATCTCTCCTGTGCAACCACTGAACACGTATAAAATCGAAGAATGTTTCCGGGTGCTGCAGAAATACTCGCTGGTGCAATGGAAGGCGGACCAACAGAGCTATGGAATGCACAAGCTGGTACATGCGTGGGGGTGTGACAGGCTCACGAGAGATGAACAGGCTAGATATAGCCGGGCGACGTTTGGACTCATTGTAGAGGCAGTAGAGATGGTGGAGAGCGGCAGGACAGCGCCAGAAGACAAGCTGCGGATAGTGCCACACGTGATGGTAAGCTTTGCAGCGTTAGGCAACCGAGGGAACAAAGTCTTGGAGGGTGTGATAGATGAATTAGAAGTGGTAGGCTTATTCCTTCACCAGATTGGTAAGTGGAGGGAAGGGCTGGAAATTCAAGAAGTTGTATTAGATGGGGAGAGGCGCATCTTCGGCGAAGAGCATCCTTCCACCATTGCAGCGATGAACAACTTCGCAGGCACCCTTCGAGACCAAGGCCAACTCGACGAGGCAGCTAAAATGTTCGAGGAAGTGTTAGATAAGACGAGGCGCATTCTCGGAGAGGAGCATTCAGACACTATCGCAGCGATGAACAACTTCGCAAGCACACTTGGAGACCAGGGCCAACTCGACGAGGCAGCTAAAATGTTCGAGGAAGTGTTAGATAAGACGAGGCGCATTCTCGGAGAGGAGCATTCAGACACTATCGCAGCGATGAACAACTTCGCAGGCACCCTTCGAGACCAAGGCCAGCTCGACGAGGCAGCCAAGATTGAGAAGGAAGTGCTAAAGAAGAGGAGGCGCATCCTTGGAGAGGAGCATCCAGACACCATCTCGGTGATGAACAACCTCGCTATTACACTCGGAGACCAAGGCCAGCTCGATGAGGCAGCCAAATTGAAGAAGGAAGTGCTAAAGAAGATGAGGCGCATCCTTGGAGAGGAGCATCCTTCCACCATCTCGGCGATGAACAACCTCGCTGCCACACTCGGAGGACAGGGCCATCTCGATGAGGCAGCCAGCATGAAGAGGGAAGTGGTAGAGAAGACGGGACGCATTCTTGGGGAGGAGCATCCTTTTACCATCTCGGCGACGAACAACCTCGCTAACACACTCAGAGATCAAGGCCATATCGACAAGGCCGCTGAGATGAGGAAGGAAGTGCTAGAGAAGACGAGGCGCATTCTCGGAGAGGAGCATCCTTCCACCATCTCGGCGATGAACAACCTCGCTGCCACACTCGGAGACCAAGGCCAAATCGACGAGGCAGCCGAGATGAGGAAGGAAGTGCTAGAGAAGAGGAGACGCATTCTCGGAGAGGAGCATCCTTCCACCATCTCGGCGATGAACAACCTCGCCAACACACTCGGAGACCAAGGCCATATTGACAAGGCAGCTGAGATGAGGAAGGAAGTGCTAGAGAAGAGGAGACGCATTCTCGGAGAAGAGCATCCTTCCACCATCTCGGCGATGAGCAACCTTGCTATCACACTCAGAGATCAAGGCCATATCGACAAGGCCGCTGAGATGAGGAAGGAAGTGCTAGAGAAGAGGAGGCGCATCCTCGGCGAGGAGCATCCAGACACCATCATGGCGATGAGCAACCTCGCTGCCACACTCGGAGATCAAGGTCATCTCGACGAGGCGGCCCAGATGGACAAGGAAGTAGTAGAGAAGAGGAGGCGCATCCTCGGCGAAGAGCATCCAGATACTAGAATAGCAGAGGAGAATCTAGCTATTATAGTACAGCGTCAAAGGTCAAAGCGAGGCAGGGCTGGCAAGTCAGCTAGAAAAAGAACAAAGTTCCTACAGCTTATTGGTATGCGACCGCGTATCTAGGTTTCTTGCCATTAAGCCCTACTACTAAAGATTGCAGGGTAAGAACTAATCTTAAGACGCGGTTAATCAGTTCTTACAATTTTCCCGTTTACTGTTACCTATACTTTCATTTACTAGAAATGTACGTTAGGGGTCATTATAGTGCTTAGTTACCGATTCGGCGACTCTAAATTACATTTATCCCGCGCTCTAGTTCCAATCCAGCGGATTGGATCAATCTTCCTCCCAGCAAATAATCATGGGTTCGGTGTCCCTTTTTTTGTACTTCATTATCATCTAGCGTCGATAAAGTTTCTAGGGGCAACATCACTGTGACCACTGCTTGATCTACAGAGAAAATGCTGCGGACAACGAGGCACGGGAGGCTGTTCATCAGGCCTACCACCTCCATCTCGATCAAGCTCAGCGCTGAGCCTGTCTCTCTCCGGGACACTCTTTATCACCTGGTTTCCCGACGCGATCGTCCTGTAGTGTACCACCACCTCTTCGCTATCGCGTGTCTGCCTCGTGTCTGTCCGTGCTGCACGCATCGCATGTTTGCCGTCTCTCGTAGTCGTAATTCGTTCGCCCGCATTCAGGCCGCTGCAGCGAGACTATCTGCTTCACAGTCCTCTAACAGCGTACTACATCCTATGCTCGAGCGACCCTGTTTTTTTGAGCAATCCGGGCCTGGGTTTGAGTTTTTGCTCGCCCGTTAGGCCTGCCGATGCGAAAGGGCTAAGCGACTCTGAAGTAGTGTCCAGCCAGAGATTGGCAGACAGGGCACGACGTTAAAGTGGCTACATTGCATTAGACCGTTCAAGAGGTGAACTCTCTGTTGTCCATGTACGATAATATTGGCCATGGGTTGTCTGTGTGCTATGTAAAAGTGACAAGTTACAGCATTATTCTACATGTTTGTTCTACTTAGCAAGTGCGTAACATGCTATCTAGTGCTGCTTTCTCTGCGCTTGTGATAGACAGCGAATAGACACTTTTGACCTTGACCCACATTCTCGAATAGGTGCAGTAGTAAGAAGCTATACAAGTTGTCAATAACAAGTGCATTCGTCGTTATGTAAAGAACTCACTGAGCGGAGGCTTCCACCTCTCAGGGCCCTTATCACCTTTGGCCCGGTTCACGCTGTCTGTGATAGCGACGAGTTGTGGATTCATCAGGTCGTTAGCAAAAGCTTGGCGTTCGGCCGTTGTCCACGATGAGGCGCCAGACTAGCGTGACTTGATTAGCACTTCCTGACATCAGAGCAGCAAAAGAAGAGCAACCTTCCAGGCATTAGACAGAGGAACCAAATGGTCAATGTCTATGCGGCTAGCGGTATCCCAGGTGGCGCCATCAAACGGCGATTGCCAAATTCCTGATACTGCTGCGCACGAGGCGCTCTGGGTTACATTTAAACCGTCTCGTTTCAACACCACCTCGCGTGTGTTGCAGGTTCTTTTCTCTGTAAGCCGAGCTAGCTGTGGTACTATGAACGAATATCTCACCTGGTCTGAGAGATCCAGTGCGGGAACAAGTCTCGAGAGTAACCATCTTGCGAGCCCTGTGGCTGAACTATAAGTGCAGCGAGGGCAGACTCTGCGTCGGCGGTTGAAGGAACATTGGGGGGAGCACGGGCTACCATGTAGACAGGAGCCGGGAGGGCTGCTGACATCCATGTCACTGTAAGAACAAGAACCAGATACTTCATGTTGATAGGTTGGAGAATAGGCTAAGAGGTGTAAATGACATGAAGTAAAGAATAAGAGAAACCATGGAGTGGCGGTGACAATCTGGAATCCAAGAATTATATACGCATTGATACTCGAACCGGCGCATGTCTGCTGTTAGCTCGTCAATCGCCTAGCTGTGGAGACTTTGAAACTCACAATACTAAGTTTCTATGGTACACTAGCTAGTCTCCATAACGAGTGGATGATACACGTCGTACGCATTGAGATCAATCCGTCAAACCATGCCACTCAACTCATGCAGCTATGCCCTATGTGACTGCTATAGCGGCTGATATCTATCTATCTATCGTTTTTGCCATAACTGGAATTTCCGATCAGAAATCTCGATGGCTCTGCTGGTACGAAGCCTCTCCTCCAGCATGGGTGAGAAAGTTTAAACTACAAGCAGCGGAAGGGCTGATCACAATCTCTGATCCTGGCTACTATCCCACACGTACCTACAAGTCAACAAAGTGTAGGTATGATCTAGACCTCTATGCACGATATGAACGTTGATAGTTTGATAGCATACGTTAATGTTTGTCTTGAATTAATGTGGTGTTCCTGAACTAGAAAAAGCGAGCTAATTTGACAAAGAGCTTCCAAGACTCTCGGCTATTACTAAACAGCTGCATCCTGTCGCTCAACAGGTCTCTCTAGTCTATATACACTCCGTTCAACATACAACTTAGGAAAAGTACATAATAAATACTTCGCCTCTAAAGCGGCAGGTTATTAAAAACGGTATGGTCGAGATGCAGCAGGTCGCTTATAAATCATCCTAAGGTGTAGCCTACATGAAAGGTACTGGGGATTGCCACCCCGCTAGGAAAGATGGCCGACCCGTTCCTGCCCTGGCCTTGTACGAGAGGCGATAGTTCTGTGGTGACCAAAATGAAGACATAAACAAGATGCATCTGTATGTAGCGAGGTGTTTTGCAAAACTCAGGTCAGAGCCTCCCGCATTGCACGATAGCGTGCTTGCCCCTAGCAAGCGCCCGGACCCTAAGCGCCAACCAAGAGCCGGATTTTATATGGTTCTTGGCAGACCACACTAGTCGCTGTGGCCGGAACGTTTTTCTTGGCAAGACAAACATAATCTAACATTCATTTTCCCTCCCTCTGCGCCAGCATCCGTAGGCACGACATAAAGCGTGCGCTTTCTTGTCCTAATCTTGACTAGACTTACAGCATTACTCTATTTTCAAAACGTTACAAGCCATCCTCCGGGGGCGACCGCTGCTGTCCGATTCGTATACTAACACAGCCTTCACACACACTACCGCTAACCCTCCACGCTCTACAAGCTTTCTCCTTGCGCATACCGGCATTCCCAGACTACGTGAAATCCATAGACCGGTGGACAGATGATCGCGATAACTGCAGCAGAGTAGAAATGGCTCCCCCACAGACACTGAGCGTCACCTCGAATGATAGCGGCCAGCGAAGGACATCAAAGCTGAGTTATTGACGGCAGCGGTCTCAGAGTCCAAGCAAGAAGACAAGCCCTTAGTATTAATTGAGAAACATGTCTGATGCAAGCATCTTTGTAGACCATCTTTACAAGCCTCTGCTAGATGTAGAGCGTAAACTTAAGCATATATTTGGCGTGGTGATGCTAGAAGATATTGGGAAGGCATCTTCTAGCTACAATTGATATGCTGCACCGGCCATAGACAACAGAATTAGGAAGCTTGCGGAGAAGTATTGCCACAAATTAAGGCAGATGGCCAAGGACTGTGCTGGTGAAGGTCAGTGGAAGAGCTGTTTGCTTTCTGGCCTCGTGGAGCCGATTCAAGAGCTGTGGCCAGAGATTGTAAAGCTGAGTGCATTGGAGAAGCGTAGGCCTACCAGTTTCGCTCCAGTGACGTGGCTAATCGGACTATAGCATGGATCTCTGAGCTTAGACTGGCCCCTCCCTCCTTTGAGGACATACTTGGTCCCCCGCCTGCTATACCTAGTCCTTACGAATCTCATTCATCAACAACTGCACCTCCACCTCCTTCACTACGTGATCCCGCCCTTCTGCAGACGCCGGTTCTTAGCCTACTATCCAATGCTCCTAGCGACTGCACCACTGACGATCCTAATTGTGTTTCTATACCTAGACTAGACATAGCCATCGGCCTCTCCCACACATCTTTTTCAAAGCTCTAAGGCAAGATACTATAGGACCTCCAAGACAACGGCCGTGTCTTCAGCGAGCCGCACTAGTCGGCAATTGGCCTACATTTTCCTTTTCTAGTTGTAGAAGCGAAGGGCTTAGCGGCTGGGTCGAATATGATGGGGGCACAAAACCAAGCTGCTGTTGACAGCGCCTGTGCTCTCAACATTCTTTGCAGTCTAAAGCTAGCTGTGGCTACTTCTACGCATCAAGCTCTTAGAAGCCAACCTAAATTGAGGGAAATCCTCTTTTCAGTTGTGACAGAAGGCCCCATTCACGAACTCTGGGTATACTTTTAAGTTGATGAGGCCTACCACATGACTGTGCTGCGAGTATGGCGGACGACGATTGCAAGAGAGGCAAAAGAGTTCGTGCAGGCTTTGAGTACGATAGTAGGGTGGGGCGTGTCTGATTTCAAAGATGCCATTATTAAAGAACTCACTTTCATTGAGACTGTGCTTCGAGAGCGGAGAATGGAATGAATGCGTTCTGCTCCCTCAAGCTGTCTACCCGAAACCGCCAGTTCCTCTTTTTGATCAGCGTACACATAATGGCGGCTTCTCTTCTTACGTTGATATGTGAATCTGTACAAGCTAAGAACACTTTTGGTGAGGTTTAGGAGTCGATACTAGCTCCGAGGCAGGTGTGGCGATCATGTTGGTCCAGATCGCCACCCCTGGCAGGTACTTTTGCGGGATGCGCCTTCTGCATATGGCTAGCTTGGAGCGCCTTGCGATGTGTACGTAAGCCACTAATGCGGATCGAGCAAGGCTAACAAAAATGCCAAGCTTGTTGCTGAACAGGACGGGGATTGAACAAAAGTTACCACGCACGAGCTATGTCGTCAATTATGGCTTCTCGTACGAGCTCTCATGTATGTGCTGCCATGTGACCATATCATATAACCATATAACTTATCGCTATAAACTGATCTGAGATACAGTGGCATGAGCCAAAGTTATATGTCAAGTTAAAAGTCAAACTCAGGTTCAGGAGCCTGAGTTCCATGAAATCCATCACAATCTGGGCACGAAACTGCTGAATGAATGATCAGTTTCTGCCTGTAGAGATCCTCTTCACGCCTTCCGCAGCTAGGACAGACATTTCTGTTCATTATTTTCGGACACATGCAAGATCCACTGTGGCTGTAGTAACAGTAACCACACACGAAATGGTGCTCTGAGACATCTTTTGCCCTGCTTCCATGCCGCCCACCAAGCAAGAGGTCCGTCGCTATGTCCGCATTTGAACGGAGGAGTTCGGTAATACTTGAATCTTTCAGAGTTTTCTGTAATACCGAGTGACTGCCTGCAACAGCACCGACAACTATATCTCGCAGTTCGATATGGCCCGCGACCGCGGTTGTTGTGTAGTCGTAAATGAAGGCAGCAACAACTCCCCAGCTTCTGCTATCAACTTCTTGAATAGTCTTCAAAAAGGATGTTCGTGCAAGATCATACAAGGAGCCACAGATGTATTTATCAGCGATGATTGCGACTTGCGCATGAAGGAGGGACTCGGGTATAGTGTAGTCTGAGCAATTGTATTCCGCTTGATGAAAGTATGATACCATGCAATCGATAGCATTCAGGTATACAGGGTCGTCGTGCAGGGAAATAGATCCAGTGTGCGATTCCTGCCAACAAATCAGCAGAGTTTGATTTCCTGTCTGTACAATTACCTTGAATTCGCTGGTGAGAGCCTTCCGAAAACATTCCGAATGGCACGCTGCGAGAACCCTGTGAGTCTGCCAGCTCTTCTCTCCAAGCTCCAAGACGAGATCAGAGAAAGTGCCAGATTTCACGTAAGCCAAGTCTCTGACATAGTTCTCAAAAGACATAGCTTCTGATTAGCCAACCTGATCGATTAAATTGCAATAGATTAAATAACAAAACGCTCATTTTATTCTGGGTTGACTTCACATGAGATAGATTCGGATGCGGGCTGAACACTGAGGAAGATGCACAAGAAGCGGGGTTAAAAGTATCATGTGATACATTGGCGTAATTAACACGCGTCACATCTTGATTCAATCGGATTAGCATTAGAAGGAGATCTTACTGTATAACGTGTTTCACCAGTAAGCTGGCCACACCAGTAAGCTGGCCACCCCAGAAACCACCAAAAATCAGAAAAACAGCCCCCGTGCAATCTCAACAACAGGGAATATTCACATGCTACAAATGCATATGCAGCTTTTAGAGCTCAATTCCAGCTCCTCTAAAAGATATCTGATATCTAAATTAGATACCTGTATAGTTATTGCCTTTTCTCTGTATTATGGCCTGTTTTGGCCCCTAAATTAAGCTATCTTTGCAAGTACCAGAAATATAGATGCCAGAGCTCTTTACAAAGCTAAAAGGCAGATGCTAGAAGCTGTATACACGTTTGTAGCTTGTAAATACGTTGTATTGATAAAATTGTAGGGGGGCTGTTTTCCTGATTTTTGGTGGTTTTTAGGGTGTCCAGCTTACTGATGTGTCCAGCTTAGTGATAAAACACGTTAACTACTCGAGCGATCCTGTGCTGATATAATCGCGCAACAACCAAACAGCCCAGGAGCTTGTTCTGATTCCCACGAACCTTTTTGGCTCCCGTGGTGGGTCTAACAGTCCTAACGTGGGTCCCTAGTACGGATCTAGTGCATATCGGAGAGCATGTACAAGCTCTTACCACACCTCGTACCAACAACCACTATCCTTATGTCTAAGCGTAAGCTATCTTTGCAAGGAGTCTTCCTGCCCTTCTTTGTCAAATCGATGCAATATCGCCATCGGCGCAACCCCTGGCGGCGATGGTTATGCTTTGTTCGAGATAATTTCGTTGATGCTGTCAAGGGATGATTGTGTCCTTTGTCTAACATTGCGAAAATCATGGAGTGATATGGCATTAAGTGTCACAGTTGAGTTAGGGCGGGGCGCGTTAACATACTGCCGCCGAGGTCAAGTACAGAGCCTAGCCAATTAGCGCTCGTTGGCTGGCATAGTTACCATTTAAGGGCCATTGGTGCCAGATAAGCGGTGATTGGCTAGCGATCAACCGCCGGGTATTTATGGACTACCGCGCCGTCAACTCGAGTTTAAAGCAAGACCCGCACGACTATCTTTAGAGAAAAACACCAGAACCACTCTATTTCCATTCTACTTCTAATTCCCTGGTGGTATTATCTATGTATATACGTATGCAACACTTCTCACTCCTTCATACTTACTGTATACATAAAATCCTGACTCACTTCACTTGACCACCATCACCCGAGAGAGAGAGAGAGAGAGAGAGACGAAGGGAAAGAGGGAAAAGAAAACAAAAACGATCGGTTGCCACGATTAGGACATGACAACGCGAATTTTGGCGCGCGCGTCACTATAACTTTCTATGTCAGATTATTGGAGGCGGGAAGAGGTTAGATATCGCACGCCGATCAAAAGTCTCAAGTTTGTTGTTATTGTTTTATGTTTTTTCAAATACAGGCTTCATCTGATTCTCAAGGTCCAGGATATCCAATGTGCTCTCTGTCGTCATCAATGATACGTCCATATCTGTTTCCGTAAAATGTCAGTTCAATCAGCAACGGAAAAGAAAACAATACACGGGTGACCAACTAGAAGGGAAATAACAAAGGAACGAAACACAAGAAGGAGGGAAGGAAGAAACACTCACTCAAGCAAAAGTCTAAAAAACCAAGCCTCGAGATCCACATTGCGTAGCACTTTGCCTGCCCACTCCCGACTCCGGTCCGCAATCTCCCTTGCTTTGCGCTCCCCTTCACTGTCCCCATTGCCGCCTTTGTTCTCGGCTGCACCGCCAGCAAACCACTGCACCAGATCTAGATGCTCATCGCCATGCAAGCTAAGTGGTATGTAATGCACCCACGGCTTGAGCCACTCGTGATGCCATTCCCGGAAAACGGCCATTTTGTATACCAAGCTCTTGCTTTTCAGGAAACTGTAGAAGCGCCCCGAGAATGCGTTGCCGTCCATGTCGAGCAGGTGCTTGAAATGCCATGCGTCCTGACCGTCGACTAGCTCTGTCGGTTGGAAGAACTCGGTTTGCGCATCGCAGTCGTCTGGGTCGCACTGTCCAATGTGGGAGAATTTGACGTCTACTAATGAATCGTAGTCACGTCGCTCCACAGTCTGCATGGTGTATGCGGATTTGGATGGCGTGTCGGATAGATCAGGTACGAGTATTTTGGCTTTGTCTGGTGCATTGAGGCGACGCACCACACGTTGACGATGTTGATGTCTCCAGCCTCCATTCTGGCTGAATCCTCCCGTGGTAGACCCACGCCAGTAGATGCTATTCGTCTTGTTCTCCCATGTGGTGTCTCGGGCTTCATCGTAATCTACCTTACCGACGTAGTACCATGGACTCGGGAAGATAATATCCTGGAAACTGGAAACCTTGGATTGGGAGAAGATTGGTGTGAGCTCGTGACTGATGACGAAGGCATTTGGCCTTTCAAAAAGACCAAATGTTGAGGAGAGCGAAGGAGAATTGCAGATGTCGGAAAATGCCGTTTGGTTGTATACGTATCCCAGGTCACCTGCCGCGTAAGCTGTCATATTGTCTGGGACCTGGTCCTCAAACTGTTGCGACTGGGTGTTTGCGGGACAAGATAAACGGGCATGAGTCCATGTCGGCTGTTGAGTCAAACGATTGAAGCGGGTGCTGCTAGACTCTTCGAAACGTTCGCCGTCGTTGACATCGGACGGACGCGCTGAGAAGGAATTCCTAGGTGATGTATTTTTGCCGACCGCAGGCAGAACTAAGTCTCGAGCCGTCGCTACCATGGCAGATAACTGATCGTTGGGTACCACAACTCGCGGTTCGTCGTGTATATTGAAACCAAGATCCATGTCCGGGAGATATTTGACGAAGCTGTCCAACATTGCCACTGTTGCCTCCTGCTGCCAGCTAGGACCGCCCTCGACTTTGACTACTGCACCGCCTCTTATCATAACCCCTAGTAATGCACTGTCTTCGTGACCTAGCGCGTATTTGATACGCGCGCGAATGGTAGAAGGTTTGACGGCCCAGAAAGGAAGCATGGATTGAGTGATGGTGTCGAATTCGTCAATCAGCACCACCTCGTTCTGCGTGGCAAATTCATACCATTTGTCAAAATGCGGTGGAGGTGCAATGCTATTTCGCAAACGATATTTCTGCACAGCGTCACCTAGCGATTTGGATTGTGCATCAATAAGCTTGTTGAACTCCTGTTCGGCATTTCCAATCAACTGCGAAGCACCATGACCCTTTGTCCAATCCATGGGTATGGGCTGCAGGGGATCATGGGGTGGCACCGCGCCGAATGGAAATTGGCTATCTGCTGTAGTCGAGACTATAAGGCGGGATGTACTGAATGCACGCCGCACAGATATAATGCCTACGGATAAGATTGTGGTCGCAAAAATTAATCGTTTAAAGCGGACAGAAGTCCGAATATCGACCGTTGAAGCGGAAACCGGCGAAGTACTGGTCAAAGCGATAAAGGACGAGACGTAAAGAATGGTAAACCATAGATCAGAAATCGAAGCTGCGAGACTCAACCTGGCACCTACGTACGAGCACACAGAAAGGAATGAGGTATACACTGGGCCTTCCCGGCTGATCTGTAGTACATTGTTAGCTAGTACCATAGAACAGAAGCATAGTGATCGGGGCGGCATTATCAAATGCTGTCCAGGCGTACCATAACAAAGGTCAATACGTGGACAATGATGTTCACGAAGATCATGGAAAAAACTTGCTGTATCGTCCCATGGTAATGCAGCATCCCCCAACCGCCCAGTTCTCGTGGTATTCCACGAATCTCGGGTTCCCCCGCAACGAGTTGGGAACTTATACGAGGCTCGAAGACGCACGCGCCTATTCCACATGCCACAGCTAGAATCGCTGCAACATCTCGAAGGACAACAATACCCTGTGTCCATTGCCGTCTACCGTTTAAAGGAGGTGAGCTGGCGTCATTGTTTGCAACGTCTCCCATATCACCACTTGTCGATTTCAGCGAGCTACAGAACAATACCAGACCGGTCCCGGTGAAGATTACACTGCTTATACCGAGACCAAAGGTAGAAGGGATGGTGAAAAGTGTTGACAAGACGACACTCGCGGAAATGGTGGCGGAACTCAGGACCAGAAATGATCTCGAGAACCTCTTCTGTTCTGGGAAAGGGGGGTTGAGGGGAGACTCATGCTTTAGCAGGATCGTAAGCTTCGAGAGCAATTCGTTCTCTGAGAGTACGGTGACAAGCAAGGGGAGTAGACCCTAATACGATTTAGTTTGTAACAGGATACAATCGCTCGTCCATTGTCTTCGTATACCTTTGTCGACCATATCCCTTCCTTGTCACAGGCGGCGCTTTCACAAATCTGCGCCAATGCCAGAAAGCCTCCGGCCAGCCATGCTGAGGTTCTATCCCTCTCACCTCCTAACGAGATTCCCGCCCATAGAAGCGTACACAGAAAAACAATCCCCCACGAAACGGCGGCTACGAGAAGCTGGTGTTGGACTGGGGCGTGCGAGAAGGCTATCTGCGCAAAGAAGACGTAGAGTGCAGGGATGATGTGACTTTGGAATTTTCGCGCCTTTTCTACGATCAAGAGGAGCGTTGAATGCATTGGAGCAAAAAGAGGTTGTCATACGTCGGTGGGCATTGGTGACGGTTCTAAGCGTCCCTTGTATGGGTATGATGTCGACTTTTAGGAACAGGCAATAGCGATCTGTACTAGGATAGGAGCTCTTGAGACGGACTTGAAGCGTACCGGATATCTGAGAGTGACACACTTTACGGGAGTTAATGCCCGTTGACAATTACCGGCTATCCAAGGAAGTGGCATAGCTTACGAGCGGTTATGTCCGTTGACTTTTCTTAACTCTATCAGTTACCCGCATCACGTCATTGATTTAAAAGTAAAGAGTACAAATTGATGTCGATTCGATTCAGTCACATGTTAAAGTATGGATAGCTACTGTGAACGTGTCTGAATTCTTTTCAGCACGTAAACAAGTCGATAAGAGCAATCAATGCAGTACAACTGGAATCTCAGCCCAACAACAACACAGCCTGCGCCGACCCTTCGTGCGAAAAACCAACACCGTTGGTATGCCTTAAATAGAGATCCATTACTCTCTCGACTTAGACACTAGGTATCAAATGATCCCTTCTACTTGAATTCCCAGGTTGGTAAAACACCATTCTCGGTACTCTCCAGCTTCAGACACTGATATGGGCTATTCTGAAGATTATAATACAGACCGTTAGAACATCTCAATTGCCACCTAAATGCAGCAAAATTGCAGATAGCGACGTTGAGTGATGTTGATTAGCCGAGCAAGAGCTCGTGCGAAAGTCGCTTAAGATCCCAGGTAACATACCCTTGTAGACAATTGGTGAACCTGCACGAGCCAGACTCAGAAGCACCTTACAGCGCTAAGTCCACTCCAGATTGGCGATCATTACAGTTTAAATAAGCGACTTGTCAAAGTAAGTCTTTTCGTACGTACTGCCTCTGCAACATAGTCTTACGTCAGCCTTAGCACCCAACCTGGAGTAAGATCAATGCGGTTTCAATGGGCTCAGGGACCCTGACCAACTCGCGGGCACGACGTTGTGCTACCCGATTTCGCTAGAGGTGTAGCTGTTGTCATCGCTCTTAGGCATCGGCAGAGGCTCGTGCTCCTTGTTCAACAGCGACGAAGGGGTGTTCGTGCGTAGTGCCCGTGAGTTGGTCAGGGTCACTGAGCCCATTGAAACCGCATTGATCTTACTCCAGGTTGGGTGTTAAAGCTGACGTGAAACTACGTTGCAGAGGCAGTACGTACGAAAGGATTTACTTTGACAAGTTGACGCCAGTCTGGAGTTGACTTAGCGTTGTAATGTGCGAGTCTGACACCCCATGCGGGTTCACTACTTGTCTACAAGGGTATGTTATCTGGGACCTTTAGCGACTTTCGCACGAGTAGGCTCTTGCTTGGCCAGCCGACATCACTGCTCAACGTCGCCATCTGCAATTTGAACGCAGTGCCATACAGCATGAAATTGAGCTGTCTATTTATGTGTTAGGAGGAAATTAGCTGGTTCAATATTTCCATTCTTAATCCTATCGAGTAGAGCAAGGTACGGCACACTACCTGTACATGTACGCGCCGGCTCTCTTTGTAAAGATTCATTCTTCGCTTCTTTACCAAAATGATAAAATATTGCCATCAACGTTGCGTTGGAGGCGATGCTGGGAGTTGTTGTTGACAGTTGTGAGAATGCTATGTTAATAAAGATGTGCGGTTAAGATTGGCAACGTACAAGAAGTGACGCCTTACACGCACATCATTTTTGTTAATCTATAGCCGCTGCAACTTATCTGATTTTGCGACGATGGGAAGTTTTGCCAAAATGTCAATCACCTAGCAATTTCTCGATCCTAATTGCCCTCTATGGCTCATCACCTGTACATCCCCGCCAGTCAATCTTTTTTCAAGGCTTCAATACAATTTCTGCGTTCATAGCTTCTTCTGCCTTTCCTTAACATATCCCTGTGCCTCGCTTCCCAAAAATTTGGTCAGGCAGCATGTTCGCTGGGCGACCACCCCGCTGGGTCAAGTCCTAAAGCATCTAGACCTCTAAGTGTTTGGGTTCCAATGATTGTACGCCTGAAAAGCGGCATGCGAAATAATCTGCTCTTTCGTGAATGAGTCGTTGGAAAGCATGTCTGGCCGGTAAGGATTTGTCATTGACGAACGGCCGAATAGAGGTACTAGTGAATTCGTATCCAAAGCGAGGTTGGGATCGAATTGGGGACTACCCACACTTTGGGCTTGTCGTTGTGCTTGAAAAGCATACGAATTCTGAGTTATTTCTTTATCGATAAGTAGTGTGTGGAGCCTATCCACCTTGACGTTGCACGAATCCTTTGGACCCTGTACTGATTTAAGGTGCAATCCGCAGGGTAAAATTTACGCAAAGAATAATTCTCCTAATTTGCTATGAGAGGACAAGCTTTTTCATATTAACTTTGTTGCTCGGCTTTGACCGAAAGACATGTATCTTGATGGTAGCGCATGCGCACAACCACTTCGCCTCCACTGAAGCTGCATGAACTACAGTTTTTGCATCTTACGTGCAGATCCCAACTTCTCACACTTATGAATCAAGTATTGGAAAGACAATAGTCAGCCATGGAAACGTCACAGAATGCAAAAGAACAACCTCACGACGCCTATAAAAGCAGTCGGTGTTGCATACGCTTTCACGTCCACGCCAAACGATCATACACGCCTGCCATCGCTCAGAAGATGCGCAAACCGCGTAATGTGCGACCATCGGAACGCAACCGGGATCCGTCCCGCCATCTAGGGACCAGACTGACGTACAAACAACGCTGCCGCATCTTCACACTCCATAATCTATTCTAGCTAGCAGAGCTAATAGCCGCGAGCATGGGACTACCTCAAACAACAGTCCAGTCTGTGCTCAGGTCCGGGTCGGAGATGCTGAAGAAGCCCGTTAGTTAAAGACCTGCTATTACTAACAACATTCAGAAGCGTCTTATTGCTCGCGCAACGCTTGATGCTACTTACTGTTAGATGCCCTACAAACAGATCGCCTAGCTAGAAGGCGTTACAGCTGGCTGGAAAGCGCTAGCAGCAGCGTTTAAGAAAGAATTGTATAGGCGCCGCGTAGCCACCTCTAAGCTGTAGCTAACAGAAGCGCAGAAACAGGTGCGCATAGCGTGGGCATCTGAGCATGCAGACTAGAAGCTAGAGCAGTAGGCCTAGGTCGTCTAGACTAATAAGTCCTCGTTCTTGACAGAAAGCTTTAGAAGGACCTATGTCACTTAGCAGCTAGAAGAGAAGTACAACTAGGCTTGCTGTCTTCCTAAGCTAAGGACCTACGCTGCCTAGACGATCCACGGCAGTATCTCCGCGTTTAGGAAGAGCCTAGTTATAGTGTTTAAGAAGGAATAGGGCTGGCTTACTAGCTAAGTGTACAGAGAACGAGTGCTCCCTTAGGTGTACTATTTTATAGACTAGATAGCGCATTATGCTTAAAACCGCTTAAAGCATGCTATGCTAATAAAAGACAGGGCCTTTTTACACACAGCTAAGCTTACTAGACAGCTTTACAAGACTATAAATATAGACAGAATAAGCTAGCTAGCAAACTCCCCTAATCTAAACCTAATTAAAAACGTGTAGCAGGTATTAAAGCAGAGAGTAAGTAAGAGATTTCTACGTACTTTAGCAGAGTTGCAAACATGCATAAAAAGAGAGTAGACAGCGCTAAGCTTAAAAGACGTAAAGAAGTATATTAGCAGCATAAAAGAATAGTGCTAGGCAGTAATAGATGCAAAAAGAAAACACATAAGGTAGTAGATTAGTTGCATATAGCAGTCTATTGTGTTAGAGATAAGGTACTATTAGCCTTCTACTTAGAATAAAAGTTTTATAATCTCTTTATACTAATGTTTCTACTCCGTTACATCTTTGCAACTAATAAACAAATAGAGATCTATGCTAATTTAAGAATGCTTTACATAGCGTGCTAGGCTCTACAGCAGCTTTAAAGTAGAAATTAAAAGTAAGGCTTAATAAGCTGTTGCAAGCGCGATAACTGTGCTACAGATTATAAATTATATAATAGCGCGCTAATTGCTAAGCTGCTGCAAAAACAAATTGCAGAGCTAAGCATCTATAAACTATTATTTCTTTAACAATAATGCGCTAATGTATTAGCCGCTTAAAAGCTTAGCACAATTTTATTAATTTCTAGTTAGATACTATACAAGAAAGTTGCAATTCTCTTACCTCTTTGCTTAACAAAAACTTAAAGCTGCGCCTAGCTCTCTTAAAAAGGAAACGCGCTATATTTCTTTTTGCAAGCTTGCTTATATCTAGCATATACTGTAGCAAGAGTCTAAAACAGCAAAAGACTAATAATGCTAATAATATTTAGCTAGGGTAGAGTGCATTACAGCTAACGTAAAACATATAACTATAAAAAGGCCTGTTGCTTTGTAAAAGCACTTGCTTAAAAAGAATAGTAGCAATGCTTGCATAATGCGCTAGCTTAGTACTATAAATGCTCTTTATATAATTTTTACTAGTTAAGGCAGTATTGCTAATTAAGAAAATTATATATTAAGTCTAAATTCCTTGCATTTTTTTTCTCTTCTAGAAAAAGGGCAGCTACACAGCTATAGATATATCTAAAACTTATAAGCTTTCTTAACATAAGATAATAGTATTTGCGTAATATTAGATATAAAACAAAATATAAAAAGACTAATGTTCTATAAGCAAAAATAGAAGAACGTAGTACGCAGTTTTAAATAAAGTTGCATAAGTGTCCTTATAATATAAGCTAAATTTTAAACTATAGCTTAGTTAGCTTAGCGACAGCACTAGTGCTAATTATGTTAGCTAACAGGATATAGTTAAGCTAAGTTCTAAAAGTACCTAGGTTAGCTATTTTCTTAGTAGCAGTAGCAACTTATATTACTGCTTACGTACTTTGCATCTTAATATGTTTAGTAAGCAAACTACTACTGCGTACACGCTACTTTATTTTAGTATTACGTAAGCCTGCTGCTTTATTGCAGCTATGTTCTACTCTTATTATAGA